AAAAAAAAAAAAAATACCAGGAGACATCTCAACAGGATCTAAGGACAATTTAAACCCAGAAGTAGCTTGTAGCATTAAATTATAACATTGTTGCCAATCTGGATTAGGATTATTTTGAGATACATGTCTTGCTGCAGCAAATCTTAGGCAAAAGGATGCTTTTCTTATAAAACCAAAACTTGTGTACAAATCCGATAATGTAGTAAACCGATCTATCTAAAATTGTAGAAATATTTGTTATTATTCTGATATTTAATAAATTAATAACAGTCATAAATAAATTACATACTTTTTCTTGTTCGCTTAGTGACAAGTTTATAAGTATGACATTACTTAAATATGAAGCAGCTTGCAAAGTACAATTTTGTTCTATTGAAATTCTTGTAGCTTTAAAGCTAGCTTCTGTTTCAATTATTCCAGCATACTGATATTTGCTATAATGTACTATTGCCTCACGATATTTCTTTGATATTTCTTCAGGTAATAAAATATGTGGCATATTACTCTTTACCACTTCTATAGCTGGTGGTGATGGCAAAATTGTCACAGCTTGTGAACCTCTTCTAAGTGTGATAAAATATCATCCATTCTTCATCCAAAATATCAAATTTCTATTTTATATTATTTTATTCTATACATACCTCTGCTTACCTGGACTTCCTTCTTGAAGAGAAGAATTTCTTTGCAACGGAAGACTTCTACACATATTTGGATATAGTACTAAAGCTGATGCAGCGCATAAACCTTCAAATGCTGCTCCTAGCCACAACCAATCATTTACAGCTTGTAATACACTGGCTGCAGAATTATAATTGCTCAAAGCATCTGCTGGTAAACCAGCTTGAAGACACAAATCACCCAAATGTTTTGTCATTCGACCTACACATCTCTTTTTATTATTTCTTGATTCAAGGTCCAATCCTATAAAATCTTTCTTTTCAAAAGGTGCTAATAAAAGAGAGACCCTATCTATTTTTTCTCTTGATCTTTCTAATCTTTTAGATTCCAAAATCCAAAATAAGGAATTAAGACATTCCATTACATGAGTCTCTAGATCAGGACATGTTTCGTCTATATAAAACACAGCTCTAGTTTTGAAGTTTGAGGGTGTGCTAAATGATGCTGGAGGTTCGTGAACATTATTCGATTCTACTGGCCCAAAAAGAATAGCACGTGAATCATACAGTGTTGCGCTATACTTTACTTTTAAAGTTTCGTGAACTCTACACAATTCATTTAACTCCACTTGATTGTCATACTTCCCAAATGTAATTAATCCTAATAATCTTCTGTGGGTTTGAAAATCACCCCAATCATTATTTTCAACGGGATGTTCCCTAACGAATCTAGCAAGAATTTCACGTGTTCCACCAGTAGAATCGGCCACAGAGAATCTACTGCCTGTCTTAATTATTCGTTCACATAACCTGGTAACAGTCTTTTGTTTGATTTGTGTACCAATAGGTCTTAAAAGTAAAAGCAATGCTGCATGATCATGAGCAGTCTGCTCGTAATCAGGATGAGACATCTTGTTGTCGGGTACCGGACTCGACAAAATAACGCTAATAGCAGAGCGCATTTATATCACTCACTATCTAATAGTACTTTACGGTACCTAGACTGACATTGATGGTAACTTTTCTTATGGTATTACGGATACATAACAATTCTTTAATCCGAAAATTAAACTCTGCGTTCATCATATTAATATCTAAAATTACATTTCACTTTAATAACTGTTGTGCTAGACTAACAGAAACGAGAAATAAAACAAAAACTGCCATGTTTAAAACAGATCAAATGCGCGTGCGTTATACTTATCATATATATGTGTTAACATCGAGAGTAATCGTACGAGAAAACTTGTTAAAAAATGTAAAATAAGAATAACAAACAATAAGAATATTAAAGGAAATAAGGTAAACTATAAATATTATATTCGTGACTTTCAATTTTAGCATAATTTTATTCAAAATTTGTATATATATTTTATCTTAATACATAATTTACATTGTGCAGAATTGGCACACATAAATTACGCAGATACGAAATATTTTATTTTTACCTAAAATATTTATCAATATATAAAATTCATATGATAAAATATTGTAATCAAAACAGAGATAAAAGAAAATATAAAATCAAAATGATATGTAATCTTTACAATGTAGAAATTGCTTAAATGTGTGCAAATATAAAGTTATACAATTAAGCGTAATTGTTTAAAATATTTTTATCTAACTTGAATTGTTAAGGAAAAATATGAACTATTCTTTTAAATGAATAACAGAGATATAATATTTTTACTTCAACAACAATGACATCTTGAATCTAATTACATAATAATAAATAATGATTTGCAAATAATTTGTAAATACTAAAATTAATAAGCATTAGATATTTATGTATTAAATATTAATATGTAAATATGAAAAAAATTTAAATGCACCTATATATGTATATGTATTCTTTGTATATATATCTATGATAAACAATGAAAAATTCCAACTATTTTTATTAACTTTTTAGTTAAAAATCGAATCACTGTATATAGATATAATTATAAAGATATTACTTTTTACTTTTATTAAAGATATTACTTTTACCAGTACTGGAAATATAAACTCACTACTATACCTGGTTTATGTATGGTAATTGCAATGCAAAAAATCACATGTATATCTTCAAAAGATTAAAATATAAAATCGATTTCTAAATTACAAGTTGAAGACTATTTTAAACATCTGGCACAGAATGATCCATCATTGTTTTCAATAAACTGGTGTTCATTCTGAAACAAAATTATTTCAATTAAAAATTTACAACGTAATATAGTTAGAGATAATACTATATGTGTACCACCAGAAACGTACTTTTTAATCATGTGATCAAAAATGTACGATGGAATAACCGTCACCGTAATTATATTTCCACCTTTTTCAATCTCTGCTGTGATTTCTTTGTCTTTTAATCCTATAACATTCTAAATCATTTTACAAGATAAGATGTGTATGTATTTCTCAAACTGATTAAATTAAATATAAAGTTACTACGTCGTAACAAACCTTTCCATTAATTTCTAATATTTGATGATCTGTTAAAAGTCCATTTCTAGCAGCTGAAGAATCTTTAACTAAAGCAATTATCTTTCCATTTTTGAACTGAAATCCAATATATCCCATACTATCTTTATGCATTGTTATTGTGCGTTCGAATGGTCTGTAATGGACAAAAATTAAAATGATAATATAGTAAAATTATAAATAATTAAAAAGAATGTAACTTTTATGCAATTTGTTTGACATTAAACAACTAACCTGTCTCTTACTATTACTCTAATGCCATTAATATCAGCATTTCTGAATATTTTGTGAACTTGATCCATTGTATATCCAGCAACAGAAACATCATTGATACTCAAAATTTGATCTCCAAATCTTAATCCGGCAAGTGCAGCAGGTGAATTTTGGTTTACCAAGCATACAAAAATGCCATTATTTACAGCATGTACTCTCAATCCTATTTTACCATCTTTATCTTTGCAAAGTATTAACTGACAAGATAAATAATTTCAGTAAATATCTTTTCAAAACATATGATATTAATATTTTATTGGACTATAATATATATAAATACTTACTTCTCTTATACCGTTTGTAACTTGTGCTCTCTGTAATCCTAAAGATTGGCCAGACAAAGGTGCAACCATACCTGCTAAAGGACCTGAGGTTGCAGGCACACTTACTGTCATCTGGAACATAGATTTTTATATTTATTTTCCTTTAAATTAATTAAACTGTCTATTAGTTCAATTTAAATTATATCACTTACATTACGGTTCACAAGGGAATATTCG